CAATAGACTTCCTTGCCACGTTGGAGTTCCGTTACGAGAATCCTAGCACACTCGTTCCTTCACAAGGTCGCCTCTACTTCAAGGTTGGCCGTCAAGCCTACACCCTCTCCATCCCTGAGCTATGTCAAGCTTATGGTCTCAACGCGGATGCCAACAAGGTCGAGTTCTCCGCCTTCAAGAAAGCCAACGACTTTTGGGACCTGATTAGCAATGAGGACTACAAAGCCAACACCGCCAAGATCAAGAGAGTGAGAAGCCCGGTGCTGAGGTACACTCTGAAGCTGATTGCCAACACGTTTAGCGGAAGATCAGTTGCTCCCACGGTCACAAAGACCGAGCTTTGCTTCCTGTTCCAAGGCGTGAAGCACTTGGTGTGTGACCCGGATGCAAATGACAAGCCTATGGAGGATGAGCTCGGCGACGAGGTGAACTACGGATGTGTGCTTGCTGCCTCCTTGGTGAAATACAAGGCTTATGCCTTGCGGTGCAAGGCAACTTCTTCTTACATTGGCGACTTCCTCACTCTTCTATTCTTGCAAGCTGGTGTGCCTATACACGACTTCGCCCATGTACAAGCCAGAGCTTTCATGGATGAGGCATACATGAGGAATACCAACAGCTTGGGACGCACGCCAGCAGAAGGGTTCTACGCCTACCTCTTCATAGACGACGAAGACAAGAAGAGAGTGTGCATCCTGCCAAACAAAGATGAAACCGAGCTGCTTGGTGTTGGGAACATCGAGTTCTTGCCCACGGAAGAGGAGTGCTTTGCTCCTCTAGGAGGACCACCTGCTTCGACGATTGCTGTGGTTAACTAATTGGCGCGCTTGAGGAATAGTCAAAGCCATCCCCAATCTAAAAAGGATGTTATCCAAACGCATTTCAAGTCATTGTAATAAAACTTGACCCGTTGACCCCTTGGCTTTTCCGGCGATACGAACATATTTAAGTAATTGGCGTTCTGTAAGACCATAATGAAAATGCAATTTTTGTTCGTCAAAGGTCCGAGTCTCCAGCCACGGAAGATGAGATGCCCGAGGCCTACACACTTCCCGAGTTAGACTTTGAGCCGAGAACAAAAACCGAGAAGTTCCTAGCATATGTTGTGGAGATGCAAAGGAAGATCAATAAGTGGCAAGGGAAAATGCTCAAGAAACTTGGAAAGAAAGTCAAGGCACTTCAAGGAGGCTCGCCTAAGAAGGATGCAAGTAAAGAGGCTCAACAACCCGAGAAGAGAAGGCTCTCAACCGGTGGAGTTGTCATATGCGAGGCACAAAGCAGCACCATTCAGCCAGCGCGCCATTCCCTCCAAGAACCAGCCGACAAAGGCAAGGTGACAATCTCTAACTCCTCTGGAACATCCTCAAGTTCCAGCCGAGACTAGACCAGAGGTAACAACCTTCTTCCATTGTACATAACCCCTCATATTTGCTTCTTTTTGCTTTGTGTTTTGATACTCCTTCAAATGAGTTTGCCACCGGGACGGTGTCAAGCAAGTTTGGGGGAGTACATGTGTGATTTGACTTGTGTTTTGTGATCTTATTTTCCTTTAGCATCCTTGAGTCTTTAGTTCATTGGTAAAATTTTTAAAAAAATTTCAAAGATTCATGTAGTTGCATTCATCTTGTCAAAACATGTTAGGATTCAGTCTAGAGTTTCTCATAGCATCTAGGTTGTTTGCATTTGCATAAGGGGTTAGAGTTTCTTGAAAAGGTGTTTTTACTTATGAATTGTTTCAATGCCCTAGTTAGTAGCTCTCTAATGCTTTGTCTATGCTTTGAAAGTAAGTTCTTACCATGCTTGGATCACTTGCTAGGATTTTCGTGACTTGAATTGAACTCTCATGATTTGAAACTTGTCCTAATAAGTGAGAACCTTAATTTGAAATTCTAATTATCATCCTTATGCATTTGAAAATGAACACATGGTTTTAAAATATTTAGGCTCTCTTCTTCCTTTCTACCACTCTTTGTGAGCCTAAGTAGAACTCCCACCTTGACTCTTACCCTTCTTTGAAGCCAAATATTTCTTGTGTGACATCATTGTGAGGCCTTCCTTTCGGTTTGAACTTGGCATAAAGTGTTAGGTTTAGGCGACATGATTTGGTTCTCATATGATTGCTAGCTTTGCATTTTGAAGCTAGGCATAGGCTTAGGATAAGTTTGGGGGATCATTGGGGTTGTTTTCATTTCTATATTTTCTCGGTTTCAAGGAGTTTGGTGTTTTAAAGAAAGAAATAGGTTTTAAGTGAAAGGTTGTGTTTAAAAACTAAGTATATGCTCTAATAAATTTCAGGAGGTAGCTCTCCCAAATAAAATAAAATAAAAGAAAAAGAAATAAAAGAGCTTAAGTGCCAAATAAAAATAAAAAGAAAAAAAAATAAAAAATAAGAGAGCTACCAATAAGAAATACTTAAAAAGCAAAGTTATTTTCAAAACTTTTTCACTAGCCTAAAAAGTTTAAAAAATTTTTTGTTTCGAATTGGGGATTGCTAAGTTTTGAGAAAAAAAGGGGTAGACTCTAAGTGGTGAGTGAGGATAAAAGTTGATAAATGAGAGGGGTTTAGGATCATTTGTTAGTTTACATGGGTAGATGAGAATCTAATCATGTATGCATCAATTGTCTTTACCTTTAGCATTATACATAAGTTCAACCATTTTTTGAGAAAAACCCTTGTTTTAATTGTAAACCCTTTTCAAATGAGATCATTCAATGCTCATAACCTTCACCCATAGCCAAATGTGTTTTGCTTTAAAGTGCATAAGTTTGATTCATGGTTCGAATGATAATGAATGTTAAAGGATGAGTTTCTTTGATTGTTAGGAATAGGAGAGTCATGATTTGAATTTCTTTGTGTGATGAGTATGGCTAAGTTCTTTGGAGTATGAGTGTAAGCATAGCATTTTAGAACTGTTAACTATGACATTGAGATTGATTCATTTGAAAGGCACCTTTGCAAGAAGTTTAAACCCCCATTCGTTTTTCTTAAAACCTCTCTTCCTTACTTATTTTATGTTGATTGAGGGCAAGCAAGAAGTAAGTTTGGGGGAGTTGATGTTACTGCATATTACATACATTTTTCATAGTCATTAGTTAGCTTTTCATGCATCTGTATCACGTTTTAGGTTAGATTGCATCACTAGTCCTAGAGCATTCTTGCACCAGCATACGCATGTTTCTGGCTGCTTTGGAGTCGTGGAGGTTCGTGGACGTGCTGAAGCTGTTGCAACAGTTCGTGGAAGCTCGGATATTTACTAAGGATCAGAGATAAAGGAGCAGATCGAGCATGGCCGGTCGATCTAGGATGTGATCGACCAGAAGATCGAAAAGACCAGGCGATCCAAGGAGAATGATCGAGACGAAGATCGAGTGAAGCAGTCGATCAAACGGTACGGACGTAAATGACGCCATGCAGAGCGAGAGCCAGATCGAGTACACCACTCGATCCGACCAAAGACCGATACCGAGATCGGATGCAACGCTCGATCCGCCGAAGACGATCGAGACCCAGATCGAGCCGAAGACACGATGGTCGGAGATGATCGAGAGAACCGCTCGATCCCGGAGTCGATCTCTGTCCTTTCAACCACTTTTGGCCGCTAGCGGGGGGGGGGGGGGGGGGGGGGACCATCAGCTTGTTTTGGCCATTTTGGGAAGGCGGCGACATCCTTTTCCCATACAACTTTTCCATCCTTATCTTTTTATGTTTTCTCTCTGGTTTTGGACGAAGAACACCATTGTCGAACTTTGAGTTTTCTTAAGCTTTGTAATCGAACCATTTTCAGATTAATCTAGTTTTCTTTTCATGTTCATCGTTTCCTTTTCCATGCTTTGCTTGATTTACCTTATGTGTAGTGAGTAGTTTATTTGGGTTCGGAGTTGAGAGGATTAAGGGGTCTAAAGGGTTTCGATCTTGGGGTTTTCTAAGCGTTTTTAATGGCTATCTCTTCTAGGGTGTTGAGCTCTCAATGCTTGAAGACTCTCACGCCAAGAGCTTCACGATCCGAGAGGTTCCTTACCTTGACAGGATTCAGGGACCTCGGAAGATCACACCCTAGAGACTAGTTACCCCTTCCCAAAAGCCATGGAAGTTTGGGGGACTAGTTAAGCCACTCATTTGAAATCTGTTTTCCATGCCCTTCGACCTCTCTTTCCACCAAAAGCCATGGGTTTGGAGGAGAGGATGAAGGAGTGATCTATACCGAAAGCCACGGATAGATCTTGCTTAGTTTTCAAGGCTTAGAGATCCTCACAAAGTGAGTCGATTTATAGTTTTCAACCCAAGGTCGAACCTTTGAAACCCCTGACCATGAATCTCAACCCTAGGCCCTCTCTTTTAGCATCTTTACATCTTCTCTCGTCATTCGCTTGATCTTTGATAGCATCCTGGTCGTTAGTTTTACTGTTCTTGCATTTTTAGACGAGATCGATTGTTATTGCTCGATCTAGTGGTCGATCTCATGGTCGATCCACTAGTCGAATTTTAGTAATTTGAAGCTTCATCCTTTAATTATTCTGTTTAATCCTCGTGGTAGTTTGATCATTCCTAGTAATTTTGAAATAGGTTGCATTCCATTTAGTTGCTGCATCCAGTTTTTAGGAATTTTCTCATACCCCACCTTGTTTCGCTTAGATTTGCATTAGTCCTTGTATTCTCTTTGCATTTTCTATCATTCTAGGTATGGATTGACTCTCTCTTGCATGCTGTACTATAACCTGTCTTGCATTTGAGTTTGATAACCTCATTGTATTTTCACCCCTTGCGAATAAAGTGTCTATAAAAAAAGTAGAGAAATATTTCCTGCAATTTCTGGCTGGATTCTTTTGTCTGGTTCTGTTGTATGAGAACCTTTTCTCCATTGCTCTTTTGGATTTTAGTATTAGTCTTTTCTTCTTTTCTTCTATTCTTCTATGGAGTAATCCAATAAATTGAGATATAGCTCCCTCATTTATTTTCCTCTCTAACACAAACACTCTAAAATCTACGAGAGTCATAAGTCTTTATAGGAAAGCAAGTTGTGATATGGTGGTAGGGCCCTTTTAATGGGTCTTCTTTTCACTAGATTCCATCATATAAAGAGAAATTGGAGGAAGCTTAACAAAATCAAACCACCCTAATACATTGGAACTAACTAAATAGTGAATACAAAAATGGGCAAAGTGTTGACATTACTTGTGCTCCGACTACTCATGAATCTCTTACATATCGGTTCGCTTTCTCTCTGGATCATAAAACCCACCACTATATGGATACAATCTTGGCGTCAAGCTGAAGATACCATCAAACGTACTTTCTTCGGCTATTACGGTAAGTTGTTAACAATCTTCTCTCTTACTTTCACTTCTATATGTCTCCAAGTTGTCCAATTATGACGACTCATCAGGTCTCAACTTTGCCGTATTCTCATTCCCTCCTATTGCTCTTTCTATAATTGGGCTCATTTACTTGAGTTTACTGCCGCAAAATTGTCTAACAAGGTAATATAATCTCTAGTCTTTTTAATAACAGCTAAAAGTAAGTAAACATCAAAAAATTTGTTGATTGGTTTTGTCTACTTTCTTACAATAATAAGCAGCAGAGGAGGGAGAAGTGTAGCTATTACTGTCACAAGACCAGCCGTTATCAACAGCTTCATTGGAATTGTGTCTTGTTTCGAGATCCTTGCTCTTCTTTTGTTCTTACTCTTTCTATCTTGGACCTTCTATTCTCGCGTATCTAACGATCTCAAGAAGCTGACGTCCCTCAAAACCATCAATCTTGACTTGTAAAATTTCTCTGAAACTTCAAAATCTAGTGCCTTTCTATATATAGCTGTTGACTCCTTATGTTTTCAGATGGCAGCTTAAGTACTTTAGAGTTGTTACAAGATTCGGGCTATTAGCAGAAGCATGTCTCTCTATGCTTCTTTTCCCTGTCTTGAGGGGATTATCAATGTTCCGGTTACTCCACATTCAGTTTGCAGCGTCTGTACGATAAGTTGGATAATTCGTTAGGTGTTATTACTATAATTTTATTTAATAATATTTATAATTTTATAAACAAAAATAGGAAATACTACATATTATGTTTTAATTTTTTATATAAAAAAAATTCTATAAATATATTATAGTTTTGATAATTTAAAAGATATTAGCCAAAAAATAAACCAAATTATTAATACAGACTCGCGCGTAGCGCGAATTAAAAGCCTAGTCTTATTACTAATAAAAATGTATGCTAAATGCCTCTAAGGCAGGAACATTGATAGTTTCCTGTCTTGAGGGGACTATCAAAGTTGATGTTAAAAGCCTAGTCTATTATCAATGTTCCGGTTACTCCACCTCACTAAATTATGCTTAAAAACTATAGCCATAACAAAATAAATTAAACAATAAATAGAAACATAACAAACAATGTAAGCATAGAAAGAAAAACATAGCAATTCCGTTCTCTATCTCTCTCTCCCACCAAATAAAAATTTTAGTTTCAATTGACCCACTTAATCACTCAAAAAGACTCTAACAGAAAAATAACTTGACTTATTATTCAAGATTAATCGGCTGAAGCAGTGCTTTGAGCATCCAGCTTTATTATTTACTTTCTTCCTCTTTCTCTCCTTTTTATTCTTCCCTACCTATTTCTCTCTCCCTCCTCTCTCTCTCCTTTCTCTCTACCTCTTGCTCTTTCTCTCTCTCTTTCTCCCTCCCTCTTTCTCTCCCTCTTGTTGTTGTTTTCGAAGTAGATCTTCTCTCTCTCTGATATTCTTCAAATAAAAATCGTAGTTTTAACCCACCCACTCAATCTTTTAAGAAGACTCCAAAAGAAAAAAAAAACTAACATATTATTCAAGATTAATTGACTGAATCAGTGCTTTGAGCATTAACCTTTATTATTTCCTCTCTCCCTTTTTCTCTCATTTTAGTTCTCCCTATCTATTTCTCTCTCCGTCCTCTCTCTCCTTTCTCTCCACCTCTCTCTCTCGGATCTTCTTCAAATAAAAATCTTAGTTTCAACCCACCCAGTTAATCACTTAAAAAGACTCCAAAAGAAAATTAATGTAACATAATATTCAAGATCAATCGACTGAAACAGTGCTTTGAGCATAGAGCTTTATTATTTTCTTTCTTCCTGTTTCTCTCCTTTTAATTATCCCCTACCTATTTCTCTCTCCTTCCTCTCTCTCCTTTCTATCCCCTCCCTCCCCTCCCTCCCTCCCTCCCTCCCCCCCCCTCCTCCCGTACCCCCTACCCTTTCCCTTCTCTCTCTCTCTCTCTGTCTCCCTCCAAATATAAATCTTAATTTCAACTGACCTACTTAATCATTTAAGAATACTCTAAAAGAAAAATAACCTATGTATTATTCAAGATCAATCGTCTGAAGCAGTGCTTTGAGCATCGATTTTTATTATTTCCTCTCTCCCTCTTTCTCTCTCTTTATTGTTCCCCTACCTATTTCTCTCTCCCTCCTTTCTCTACCTCTCTCTCTATCTTTTATCCCTCTCGTGCTCTATGTCCTCCATCTATCTCTCTCTCTTTCTCCCTCTTTCTTTTTCTCCCTCTTGTTTTTGTTTTCGAAGTAGATCTTCTCTCTCTCTAGGATCTTCTTCAAATAAAAATCTTAGTTTCAACCCACCAACTTAATCACTCAAGAAGACTCCAAAAGAAAAATAATGTAACATAATATTCAAGATCAATTGACTGAATCAGTTTTTTGAGCATATAGCTTTTTTATTTTCTCTCTTTCTCTTTCTCTCCTTTAAATTATCCCCTACTTATTTTATCTCTCCCTCCTCTATCTCCTTTCTCAGTGTGAAACGTAACTAATAAGAAATAAAATGAAATAAGTTTACTTAATAATAAACAAATTGATATGGATGCTTGAAAAAATCACAATTTACATCATCATCACCAGTGTAATCTTCACATTTTTCGTGAACTTCCTTTTCCATTTCATTTTCTCACCTCTGGATCGGAAAATCTGCAATCTAGCTAGATAAGACTAAGAGTATAGAAGAGTTAGTGTCCAATTCAAAAAAAATTAATGTAATCAAGCATATACATGTATTGTTGCAAAGAAAAGAAACAGAGTAAGCAGCCAAAGATCAAAGCATACACAAGTAAGACATCTTTAAAGAAGTATCTCTTGGCCACACACAAGTTTAATGAAGTTTGCAACAGATGAATAATCTTGCAATGAGCAGTAGCAACACCGAGTTGCTTTTATTGTAACCGACTCATACATAAAAATGAAAGAATATTTCTGTGTTTAAATCTGATTATTAAATTTATAAAACCCAGAGTTTGTGAAACCTAACCAAAATCAAATTAAAATAAAAAGAACAATGAAATTTGTTCAAAAATATGCAATAATTCACCCTTGGCATAAGAGTAAGACCGTCTACTTACTTGTGCTAAAAGATGAAATCAGGAAAAAAATTTGAAACATCAATAACATGTAAAAACATGAAGAACATCAAATTTTATATATGCAAATCAATGACTCGCAAAAGTAAATACGGTTAAAGCACTAAAAAAATAAAATTGTTTACCTTTTTGTTTGTTATTGTTTAGATGGTTATTTTCAACCTCATTTACTTCACAATTATTTAAACAAAAAGCAAAATTAAAATTATTTTTTTATACTAAATCCATATTCCTTTAATAAGAAATTAACTTACTTATAAATTTGGTAAAAAAAAATAAATTAACTTACTTCAAATTAAGGAAAAAGAATAAATATTAATCTATTTAATTTGTAACAAATAATTATATACTTACACTCAGACTATTATTTATTTGTAAATGTATTTCATGAATATAAATCAATATTGAAATCCAATAAGGCCCATCGACATTATTATTTTGCTATGTTTACTAAGATTGTTTTGCTAAAAAAATCAGTTACATAATATTTTAACATCACGTATCCAAATCGAAAAATTTGAAGAGTTAAGAGTGTATCGAATATGCCTGGAAAATTAGTTTGCTTTTCAAATATGCACAACATTAACAAACTACAATCTGCAGTACAAACATGGCTGAAAAAATATATATACCAATCTTAACTTAACAAACAATATGCAAACTTAACAAAGAGGCTTTCACCCTGGAACAACCAAAAAAACCATTTTTTTTTTTGTAAACACGATTCATTTACCAAATTTGTATACAATTTACAATACAAAACTAAAATAAGTGAAACTAAAACATGACAAAATTTCAAAGACATTATTACTCATGTAATAAATCTGATGAATTAAGAGGAAGATTTATGTCGTGATAGAATCACATAATCTCATAAGCACGGCCTGTCCTCCTCAGCCTCATACTCCACAAAGGTCGTGAAGCATGTCACTAAAAAAAAAGAGTAAAAATAAAATGTTGGAAATAAAGGGAAATCTGTCAGACATATATGATAAATTTCCTGAAGATGGAGCAAATTGGTATCATGAGCAGAAATTGACTGACCAAGCTCAACCTTTTATTGCTGCCATAGTTACTCATCATAGCCTGCGAAGAAGAAACACAGTTACGCTGAAGTGAACTACCAAGCTTCTAATTTTTCACATGAAATCCAACGCAATTCCTTACCTCTCAACGAGTATCCTGCATCCTCCATCGTAAGATGAGCGAGGCCACCAACGAAGAGAGTAAAGTACGGATCATCCTCAAAAACACAAAACACATTGCAAATCAGAAACAGAAGTAACAAAATTGGAAAGAGTAACATGGAGAGAATGAGAGTTACATAGACCGACGTTGTAACAAAGGAAAGCTTGACCGACGCATTTATCGTGTTTCGCAAAGTTGATTCCATTGATACATATTAGAAAGAATTCAAGATGAAACGAACCACCTTAATTCCTGGAAGCATTAAGGTGCTGAATCCAAAACCCAGATTTACAGCTGCTCATGTTTTTCTTAATGATCCTGCGAGTGATCTCTTGATGGTGATTTTATTCATACAAACAATCAGATTTAGCTAGTATGGCTAAAGATATACCATCCCTAGATAGAATTACCAAAACGATATATATGAGACCGAATGTAAGTTATACAATCCCTAACTAATAGCATGATTACCAAATCAATATATATATGAGATCCAATTTGATCAAAACTGTGTCAATGAAACTACCTCGAACATTAATGTAATACACAAACTCAACATAAACACAGATTTTCTAAATAGTAAATACAACAAAAATATCGAGAAATAAATGAAATACAAACATGAATATACAGAGAATGTAAATTAAACCAAAACATACCTTGCTCGACACTCCACATCGTATATCGATCTATCCCATAATATAGAAGCCAGAATATCACCAGATATACACACGACGACATCAACGCTTAAACAACATTCCAACAAACAAAAATCAATTAAAAATCTAACAATATATTAAACATCAAATCGATAAATTAGCTGATGTTGTGCAGAGACTACAAAAGGTTGAAAAATCATAAAGCAATGCAAAAAAAAAAAATGAAGACTAAAAATATTTATAAAATACAGTAGAATCTTAAAACAAACAAAAAATATAGAAATATAATATGCAAGAAAGCTAAAAAAAATACAATATACATACCAGCCAATTTGATGAGATGATTCTCCGGAAACCCTACAATAGAAATAAAAGAATTAAAGCAAACAAAAATTATAATAGAGTTTGTTAAAGACGACACAATCACAAAAGTCATATCAACAAATTACGTAAACTGCACTTTGTTAAAGACAACACTATATGGATCGTTGCACCTATAATACACAAAACATCAGACATCCAACGTAACATTATTAACAAAGAAATTTTGGTGGTGGTGGAGAGCGGCTTGTGGATCCATAAACAGGGCTCATGGGAGGGATGTTACCTGATGTGATGTACATCCCCTCGAAATGATATTTCCCGTTGTTGTATTTCTCAGGCTGCAAAACAAAGACCAAAATTAGAATGGGGTTTAATTAAATAACAAAGGATTTCAAAAAGAGTACCAACCCTTGTGTGTGGCGGGCTTCAGGATGGATGAAATGGGCTCGAAGGAGCACTCCTCCATGTTACATGCCCCTCTG